ACCTTTTCTCTAGGAACATGAGTTTTGGTAGTGTTCCAGGTTGGGCAGACCCAAACTCTAGTCCTCTGTCTATAAAGATACCCTGTGAGACCCAATAACTTTTTAATAAATTTCTCATTTTATTAAGTTATCCAGACTGTGTTTCCTAAAAAAAGTCTAGAAGGATTCATTCCATGAGTACATTGGTTATCACTGAATCCAGTAGGAGTGATTAGCATTTTCTGTCTTCTTTTTGTCTATATATTCTGGTTTTTCAAACATGAGCATTAATATTTTTAATAAAAATAATTTTTAAAAAGTAATTAAAAGATATATCACCTTGCAATTTCATTGAACCTTCTGCGTTTATAGCCTTATAGGTCCACATTTATTATCAAGACAATGAGCTAAAAACGGGGGGGGGGGAAATGCTTGAGTTAGCTTAATTTAAAATGAAATAAAATAATATTGTAAAGAAAGAGGAAAAGAGATACTCAAAATCAGGGAAAATACTACCCTGGGGGAATGCCTTTATTTATGGTTTTACTTTTTTTATAAACAGTTACTATCCCTATGTAATACTCACAATGATACAAAAAATGCAAGAAGGCTACAGGTAAATGATGAGCTCATAGTTGATAAAATCTACAAAATATTGATTAACTAAAGCAGCAAGTCATTGCAAAACATTTATAGATATTAGGTCTTACATTTGTGAATGCTGCCAGGTTGAAGTCACACATCTTCAGCGAGACACTCATCATAAATTCTACTTTATGTTTAAAATGAGACAACAACAGTCAAGTCAATAAAAGATACCTAATCATCTTCCCAAGATTCTTCTACGCTTGACTGAGTTTTTTAGGAGTCTTATTATATTCAGATTTACCTTTCTTCCCAATATACATCTTCTCAAGGAACTGAAAAAATGAGAGAATCTTCATTAGATTGGTAAACAAAAACTGTACAATCCTTTCCACCACTGCTCATACCCAAATTCAAAATCTCACCCTCTAGGACATACGCCTGTACTCTAGACAAAACTGCAAGGTGATAATTTGATAGTGACACACATTGATCTATAAAAATGGTTGCACAGCCTCTGGAATACTCTGGATTCATGCTTCTCCTGTGCCCACACCCAGACCAGAACAACTCAGCATAGCCTTAGGCTGCTCATCTCTGCTGTGAAAGGCCTGGGGTCCAGCCACGTGGCGGAAAGAATGAGGCTATGGGCAGTATATAAAGCAGATAATCCAGCAGCAGGTACTGGTGTGTGCAGATAACGTCTGTGAACATGTATATATACAGTATGCGCATACATTGTGGTTAAAAAGAAAATACACACTTTGTGTGTGTGTATATGCCTATGCATCTGGTTCGCTATAATAGATTCCCTCTCTTAGTTTAAATCTTATCAGTAAAATAAAGGCTATGAAATGTAAGAATTAGGAGACAAAGTATTGCTGGCTTCCAAGCGACTGGTGTTCTCAGAAGGCTTAGCTGTGCCCAAGGGCATCATCTCTGAGTTAATGCTGCTGAGGAGTGTAGCCAGTCTCGGGAATGTTCCTCTTGCCCCAAATTAATCTGTGTCTGCATCAACAGAATGGATAAAAACAACAGGGGACCAACCAAAATGGAAAAAACAAAACCTGTTTTGCCACTACAAATGTTAAGGTAGAAATATGAAACAGTAACACTAAGAAAAATAAGGGTAAGTATATATTAAATGATTATATATTTATACATTCTATTACAATCATGTACCTAAGTATGTAATAATTTAAAAGTATTAAATAAACATTGTAAAACTTTCTACATATACATAGATAAGAAGGATGCCCAGAATCATATATGCAGACTAGGAAGATATTATAAGTTTGTATATTATAAACAGCAACTGTTTGTAGTAAAATGCATCTTGGCAGGCTGATTATTGATGCTCCCTCACTCCCTCATAGATCCGTGATGGAGTTTTCTGATCCCACATCTTCACCTCATGCCCTAAACCTGCCTCATTTAACTTTGAAACCAGTCTGGCTCTGGGCCTGGTTAATAGGTACATTTCTTTGCCAGTAAATACATGCCATTGGTAGTCTATCACTCTTAGAAACAGAAATCCAGGCTCCATGTCCAGGGCCAGCTGACCATCTTGGCTGCATTGTCCCCTGTGGAACTTTGGGCTGTGCATAGAGAATCGTGGACAAATGCATGGCTTATTTTAGCCTGTCTAGTAGGGGCTGGTCTGGGTGCAGACTCCTGGAAGCCAGTCCTGCTCAAGGGCTGACATCCCACTGTGATCTTTCCAGGTGGAGGTGGGGATGGGCTCCATGGGAGGAGGTTGGGGCCAGCTGTACAAATTAAGCAAGGAGAAGCCAGAAGCCAGAACAGAAGAAAGGGGAAAGCCGGTGCTGGCAGGTTCCAGGAGTGAACTTTTGCCCCAGTTTGTTTTATACTACTATGATAAAACTGCAAATCCCAACTCTGTCCTGACCCAAGCCAGAGCCCTTTGTCTTTAGAACTGAGAGTAAGGAGACTTAAAGATTTCCTGGGGAGTTCAGAGAGTTTTAGAGGCAGTCAGGGTTTGCAAAGCAGGTGCTCTCTCACTTTGATCCCACAGAGGCCAAACTCAAGAAAAGTGAGTCCAATCGCCGTAGAGCAAAGGTGCCTGTGACAGTACAGAAACTAAAGAGCAGAATAAGAAGGGCGAGCTGGCCCATGCTCAATGGTAAGCCAAATTTGCAAAGAATTTTACTAGCTCTCTGGGCCTCTGTCTAAGGAAAGCATGATCTTTTCTCCCACGGCTGAGTCAGTGGACACCCAGGAGAGAAGTATTCTGATGTTGTCAGCTACTGATCAGAGCTGGAGGCCTCAGCAGGGCTTTTCCAAATGACCCTTGACTCACCTTGGGCATCCTGTATCCTCTGCTTGCAATGAAATCCTTAAGGTGTGTAAGTAACTCCTCCTAAAAGAGGAGTTCGAGGAATGTTTAGGGAAACTGGACCACAGTTCTTTATAAAGTGCCTCATTTTCAACCACTTCCTTCTCATTTTGGATATGTGTGTAAAAAATGCTCATGAATGGATGCATTCCTTCAATTGACATTGAAGGCTTTCAATGTCATCTACCTTTGTCTCCTTCCCCTCCTTCTGTTGACCTAGCACCTCCGGAACTTAACCTAGTTGAGATTAGCGATATGTCCAGGAGTTATAGATCTTAACTCCAACGAGCATGACAATCAAAAAAGGTTTGGTCCAGTGTCAACATCCTCTCAGTATTCAAGCACCCTTTTGGTTTTCCTTTATGTTTATTTGAACGTAACGAGTACTTGAACTTAAGATGTACACGTTTACATGATTACAATTCAATACTTTAAGACCATTTCACTTCCCAAAGTAAGTGAAGCAAGAAGAGTGAATACTTGGTTTCCAGCAAGATAGTCATGTCATCACAGTGACTGTGCCCTACCACCACACCATTTAGCACCCGTGACTTATGCATTGGGGTGCTAGAGCCTAGTGGCCCCACCTAAAGTGCATAGGGTAAATTATCCTCTAGGTAAATGCAGGCTGGGCATGGGAGCACATGCCTGTAACTCCAGCACTTGGGAGACTGAGGAGGCAGGATCAAGAGTTTGAGGCCAAACGGGGCTATGTGTGAGACCCTGTGTCAAAAACAAAAAAAATGTAAACAATTCTATTGTTTTGAATCCTCCCCGTGTATCCTGCTAAGAAACATATTTTTACAATAATCAGCCACAGTCCCCAAATCTAAATGACACTAATTCTTCATTAGTGGACTGTAAACATTGTGGCAAACATCTTTGCTAGTTTTGCTATCAAAATAAAATGTTTTGATTTTTTTTTTTTGGTGGTGCTGGGGTTTGAACTCAGAGCCTCACATTTGCTAGGCAGGTGCTCTACCATTTGAGCTACACTACCAGCTAAATGTTTTGGAAAAAAAATTTTAAGTCTTTAAGATTTTTATTTTTACTTTTTGGTTTTTTGAGACTGGGTCTTGCTATATCATCTAAGCTGGCCTTCAACTCACAATCCTCCCTCAGCGCCCCCACTCCATGTGCTGAAATTATAGGCATGTGCCACCACACCACTAAGAATATTATTTTTAAAAAAGAGAATGTCTAGATACCTTAAGGCAAAAGTTAGTAGCTATTTTTGTTTTTAAATATTTAATTCAGCTAGAACATTTTATTAATTTTAAAAGTACAACTGGAATAATTTAGTGTTATTTTATGTCACATACTAAATTCCCATAAACTTAGGCAGTTCCAAAAAGTACACTGAGAAATTCTGCTAAAGAAAGTTTGCATTATTTTGAAGCTTACATAGCTTACTGTGTCACACCTCATATCTGCAAAAGATAAAAATGACCATGGTTCCTGTTTCAGCTTTCCGATCCGAAGGAGAAAGTTGATGACTGATAACTGATGAATGCCAAGTCAAATTTGTACAGTATGTTACTTTTTCAAAGTGTTTTCGTATCTGCTATCTGGGAGAAGTTTGGGGTCTGCTGAAAAAGGGAAGAGGTTCACAAATGTTCCCATCAGAGTCCTGTACGAGGGCTACGAGGACTGACTTCCTCCCATTAGATTCCTGTACTCAGGAGCTGGCAGGCACAGGTTATTTGTAAAAGGAGAGCACGTCTTGGTTGTGTGGCTTTTGCTTTGCAATGTCAGTGTTTGACCTTTGTCCCCTCCTCTTGGACAGATACTGTGACCCTGATGAATTGTGTAAAAGAAATTTCTCGACTGGGATTTTGATTTTTGGCACATATCCCTTGCTGATGGGAAACAAGCTTCGCACTCAGTTACCCCCAAAGTCCCCACAGCATCATAGCTACTCTGAGCACTGGGGTCATCCTCCCTGGTCAACTGGCCCTCAACAATTCTCCATGGAATCCACTGTTCCAAAATGGCAGGAATACCATGAATGGTGCTCCCATCATTAGCAACACCGTATTTACCGTGAAGCCAGGAGATTTCAAGTCATTCTTATTACCCATCCCCCACACCATCACGCGCCTTTCTCACTGCTAAATTCAAATGTGCAAGCCCTGAGACTTCCGGGAGCTTCTGTCATACCAGAGACCCGGTGATCCTCCTGATGGTGGCATCCGTACGCACCTGTGCTTGTAGCTCCTTTTCAAAATCCTTAGTGTGGGCTTTCCATGCGACCTTGGGGTCAACCAAAGGTTCATCTGCTCTTTGCCTTTTCCACAAGTTGGTGTTCAGATACCATGCTCCATACCTCATCTTTACCCACTTTGGTTTATGAGAATTCTATAGAAAGCAACAAAATTCAGTGTCATTAGCTGTTGTAGGGTTTTATTTTTTGGTTGATCATTTTAATAAATGTAAGGTTTAAGTTATGAAGGCATTATTAATACTTTAATTTATGGTTGGACTTTGTCAAAGTATGTTATGAAGTTTCAATGTGCTATGACTTTACAAAAGAAACATAAAATATCCATAATTGAGAAAATAAGGTAACGGTTAAGAACATGGCTGTCGGCTTTGGACAGATCTAGGTTCAAATCCAGTCTTCCCCACTTGGTAGTAGAGTCTATGAGCAAGTTACTTAAATTCTTTATCAGGGAAATGGATTTAACAGTAGTATCCAAACACAGGGTTACTGTGGAGATTAGAAAGCAGAGAATATATGTAAAGCAGCTAGAAGTCAGGTTTAAAATCACATATTTCGCCCAAGGTTAATGATCTTGAAGAGTACTCAGTCAGCCAAAATATTAAGTTATTAGACTTCCTAAATTTCCGGCAGATACCCACCTAACACCAACTTTTCTGTCTCCTGAATGAGAAGAGAGTAGACTTCACTCTTCCTCAGTAAGGCACCAAGGATGTAACAAGAAGCTCATTGACTCACAGTCACATACTAGCTACAACACTCACACTGTCTCCTCACAAAGGGGTGTAACTCCTGAAACCTCAAGGTCCTGTCTCTGTCTCCTCTCACATTCAAACTATGGAGTAGATCGTGTGGGACATTCTTGAGTTGAGCCAGATATGTCTCAGAGAATACCACAGATAAGAGGGAAAACCTTCCAGAGCTGAACTTGAATACTATGCCAAGCATACCAACCTCCTCGCCATCTCTAAAATATACCCATCACATTTCTGCCTCAGTGCCTTTGTACCTGCTATTCTCTTTGCTGAAAATTACTTTCCCAAGAGACTCACAGGGCTGGCTCCTTTACCTATAGCACGTCATCTCAGTGGGATCATTCCCGACCATGCAATTAAAAACTGCAACCTTTTCACAACACTCCTGACCTTCTTTCCTTGACTCATTTTTCTTAGCACCATTTATCACTGATACGCTATCTGGTTTTGGATTGTTCACCCTATAAAATGAAACCTTCAGAGATTGCTCCCTGCTATATCTCCCAGCATCCAGTACACTTAGGACATAACAGGTGCTCAATAAATATTTGTTGAATTAAAGTTGGGTTTCTTAACTTTGTCATTATTGACATTTGGGATTAGATCATTCTTTATTGAGGGGCTAACCTATGCACGATGGGGTGTTTAACAACATTCCTGGCTTTACCATGACTTGTGACAACCAAAAATCCCATTTGCAAACATTGCCAAATATACCTGGGAGGAGAGAGAAGAGGGCCAAATCTCCCTCAGCTGAGAACCACTGGAATAAAGGAAGGAAAGAAGGGAAGAAGGGAGGAGTTGGGAGAAAGGGAGAAGAATGGGATACACATTCCTGCTATACTGAAGAACTTGACTTCTGGAGTACGTTGTGTTGCTGGCTAACTGGTGAACTTTCTAGTCAGTATGACAGAATTTCTCCTCTGAAGAAATGGCCTTCACCTTGTACTTGGTAGAGTTGATAATTTCTCCCTATGTCCTGTACACACACGACATCATTTTGTCATAGTTAATCATTGGCCATTGACCCGACTAGTCTGTAAGTTCCTTAAATGGAGGAAGCAATCCTCCAGCTTTGTGTCATTTCTTCCCAGCACTTTTGGACATGTAGATGCTCAGAAATGTTTGATGAATGAATGAATTGATATGTAGGGCAAACAGAAATATGCTAAAATAGAGGCAGAGGGATATGAGAGATTAGAAATAAGGTTAAATTAATGTTAACCAAGGATAAAAAACTCCAGGGGAAAAAAATCAGCATATGTCCTGTGTCTAAAAGAAGCTTGAGCATCCACATGGGGAAGATAGGAACTTCAGACAGAGGAAATGCTGTGACCAAAGCTAAGGGAGCAGGAAAGCTCAGAGTTTTAAAGAACATCCATGGACAGAGTAGGGAGGTCCTGAGAATTCTATGTGGAGTAGAAAAATAAAGTCCCCAGAATAGGGACTGGATTTACCCTCCTACCTACAACATCTGAAAAAACAGAAAAAGAAAAACCAATGGCTTGCAAAACACTGGCCCTCAGGTAACACATGATGATGATCCTAAGAGACAAGCAACAAACAAGATAGATACCATAATTGCAACCAGCTCGCTGCCTTGAAAGAGTTTCTAGGTCACATACAGAGAGGAGTCTGGAAAGAGCCCAGGGGATTCTCTGAACTCTGGCGACAGAACTGGGAGTCCAGGGAGACCAAGGAAGCTAAAGTTTGCCACACAGAGTAACAGAGAAGAGAGAGCTGCACACAAAGAGGCCCCTCTCTGCTTGTGTTAGAGGAAGTTAGCCAAGATCTGGGAAAGAAGCAACCAAAATGATTAGAGGGAAAGTGACCGGCCCTCACACAGGGCCAGAATTTTGGAAAAGCTAAAGATTCACAGGGTACAGGGAAGAATACTTTTCAGGGTCGTGCTCAGTTGTATGAAGTTATTAGCCGCAGACTGAATATTACTTTGGTCCTTCCCAACAAATACTGAGAGGAGGTTGAAAGACCAAAAACAAATTTGAAGAAATAATGGTCCAATTTTTCCCAAATTTGATGAGAAAAAATATGAGCTCACAGATTGAAGAGGTTCAATGAATACCAAGAGTAAGAAATGTGAAAAAAAAAAGCACACATAGATGTATAATAATCCAACTCCTCAAAGCCAGTAACAAAAAATCTTAGAAGCAGTCAAAGAAAAAAAGCACATCCAGATAAACAAAGACAAGAATTACAGAAGACTTCTTATCAAAAACAATACAACCAAGATTACAGCGGTACTCTTTATAGTACTAAAATTCTATACCCATGAAAATATCTTCTTAAAATGAAGGCAGAATACAGATATCTTCAGAGATATAAAAGCTGAAAGAATTCACCATCAGCAGATCCACATTGGGAAAAATGTTCAGGAAGAAGAAAAGCAATTTCATGTGGAAATACTTTTCAAACTTTCGCATTGCTACCTTCCACCTGCCAGTCAAAAGTTCAACTTTGACAATATCTATCAGTTATTATAAACCATTGGTTTATAAAGCAGCATTTGCACATTTATTTTTAAGTCCAGGAAACTGAACAATTTTATTCATCCCAGATTCAAGACAAGTATTGGCTCAGACCTCAGGCATGGTGACTGTAATCTGTCTGCCCAGTGTTTTTTTTGTACTTTACTCATTAGAAAGAGAAGAAAAATGAAAAAATTGCAGTGCTAATATCAGTGATATAGTGTATAGCGTTCATAAATCCCATGCAATGGAATGAAGGATAGAAAGAATGATGGATGTCAAAATAGGTTGGCCAACTGTGTTCAATTGCAAAGGATAAATTTACTATGTATAAAATATTGGAAATATAATATCAAATATTATGTGCAAAAGAGAATAATTGTTCAAAATATCATTTATTATAGCAAGATAAACTAGTAAGACATTTTGCCTCAAGATCTAATTTTTAGGTTATGGTAATAGATGTAATAGAACATACAAACTGAGATTAATGCAACTTGAAATATGGTTAAAATATATTTTCCAAGTGATAACGTATCCTACAGTGACAGATAACTTTTTAATGATGATGACAGAAACCATCACTCTAGGGCTGCTTAGTTTGTGATGCTCTTGTGCTAAATTCAGGGTCTGGTAGGCATCTTAAATGTTAGCCTGATTATACATAAAATAATGAAACAATGGGAATATGGAGAAGAAATATTTGAAAAGAGTCTTGAAGATTGTGTCCATTTGAATCTGTTTTTCCTTGCAAAAAAATATGTAGCAAAACTTAAGAAGAAAAATTCCAGGTAACTCAGAGGGTAACTAAAGATAATATATTGGTTTTGACTTCAGGGAAAATATCCCCACCCAGCCACCCAACTTAAGCATTTAAGTCTGTTGTCCAGTTGCAGAATCGGACATTGTACAGGAAAGTGAAAAAGTGTTCTAGTCCTCCCTCCCTCCTCCAGAGTACTTCCCTTTGGAACACTGCCTGCTCTCTCTCCTTTCTGTTACCTTGTTCTTCACCTTCACAGCAACTT